ATCAGAGAAAAAAGTGGGTATTGTTTTAGGATTGCAGCCAAGGTGGGAAATGAGGACAGGACAGTGCTGATGAAGATACCAAGATTATAAATCTTCCCACAGAAAAACAACAAAATATTCGTTTAGATATTTTTCAATCAATCTATCTGCCAAACTCATTTAGTCCACAAAATTATATGAAGACCCATGTTCCCTTCTTAGGAGTCAAAGGAACTAATTGTTATGAGGTAGATTGTTCACTGATACCTAATTTTCTTTGAATTGCCCAACTATTAAAACCTTTACATTCAGCTAGTCTATTAATGAAGCCTGAAAAAATAAATTTACAAGAACTTTGATATATGTTATCACATTCAAGATCCATGTAGGCACAGCTAATTTGGCTAATTCACCAAAGAGAAATCAGAGGTTAAACAAGGGTTTTTACTGAGGGTTGCTGGAGTGGAGGGGGGTGGTGGGGATGGGGTGGCTGGGTGATGGGACACTGGGGAAGGTAAGTGTTGTGGTGAGCGCTGTGTATTGTGTAAGACGATGAATCACAGACCTGTACCCTTGAAGTAATACATTATATGTTAATAGTAAAAAAAATAAATAAAAATAAAACACGGGTTTTTAAACTGTGCTGTGTCCGTATTTTATTTCCGAGTGTTTTCCTGAAGTTAGTGAGGGGCTTTTCATAAAGCACAAGGAAAAAGAGTCTGAAGGCAGCAAAGCAGAGAATACAAAATTTTTCATAAATACTGAAGACAGTAGAATATCTCACAATCAAGCTATGACCAGCACGATTTAAGGCTTATTAGTATTAAGTGTAATTCCTTGAGAGCAAGAGACCTTTCTCCTCTGTAACTTGCCAGGGTATTTTATGCAGATAGCTGTACCCACTGAGAGCTCATTAAAAATGATTTGACTATTAGGACAGTGGTCCTGGGTCTTAAGAGATTCTTACATCCTACTAGATATTGGGCACTGTTCTGGGGAACAAAGGAAAACAAAACAAAACATGCCACTTATTAAGGAATGCACAGTTGGGAAAAGGGAAAGATGGGGAATGAAGTGAAGCAGGCTGGGCAGACCACCGTGGCAGTCCTGTCATCCCTGAACCCTAAAGTTTCTTTTTTTATCTCTAAAAATTTTGAACGGTTCTGGTATTTGCTCTTCATTTTTCCGCTTGGTCGGAAAAAGAAATCCATTATTACACACCCATCTTCTGAAGATTCACTTTAATGTTCAGATGTAGCAAAAAATTTCAACCTCAGTTTCTCCGGTGGTATTAGCTTTGCCCTTCTTTCAACAAAACGCCTCCCCCGTACCACCCGCTGCTGCCACTCTGCACCGGTGACCGACCGAACAAACCCAGAATTCATGCTTTCATGCAACTACATTCTGGATGCAGGTATCTTCTTTGAATAAGTAACATTACATATCATGCTCAGTACCATGAAGGAACTGAGCATTGCTACAGAAAACGATGGCGTGGCGGAGCGGAGATGAAGTGGGAACATACACCTTAGCGAAGGTCAGGGAAGGCCCCGCTGAGAAAGTGACATTTAAGTTGAGACTTGAAAGACAAAGTGGCAATTGGAAGGAAAAGTGTTCAGGCACAAGGAACAGCAAGGGAAAAGGCCCAGTGGTGGAAAAGTTTCATATGTTTGAGGATTTGATGGAAGGCTCCTGACTACGGAGAAGTATGAAGGAACATGGCATGAGTTTATTTTCTGAGTGCTTAATATACGCTAGACATCATGCTAAGTACTTCAATGCACGCTCTTATGTCATCACTACCAAACCTATGAAGTTAGATTCCCCCTCCCCATTTTCAAAAGGACATGAACAAGCATAGGAGAGCGTAAGAAACTTGTTCAAAATCACATAGCAGGTGGTGGAGTATGGATTCAATTCAATGTAGCATGAATCCAAACTTACAGCCAAAGTTAGAAGATAAGCAGTAGCAAATCAAATGAAGCTTTATATAAAGCCACAGTAAGGAGCTTGAATTTTATTCTAAATGCAGTGGAAAGCCACTGAGAAGTTTAAACAAAACAGTGAAATTATCTGATTTACATTTCTGTGGCTGCTGTGTGGAGGAGTTGTATGGTAAATGAAATGAAACCAATAAATAGTCGGGAGAGAAATGATGGTTGTCTGGACTAGAAGTAAACCAATTCAAGATCTATTCTGGAGCAAATCAAATTAGCTTTGCCAATGATTTGGAGACATGGAATAAGAAAAAAGGGAAAGTCTAGAATAACTCCCAGGTTTCTGGCTTTAGTAACAAATAGATCATGATGGATAATCATGAAATGGTTTAGGATCAGACTAAGTTTAGGAAAAAGGGATAGTGTCATTCAATCATTCGATAAATCTTTATTAAGCTTCTAATATGTGAAGATAAAGCAGAGTACAAAATAAATGATAAAGTTTTGTCTTCACAGAGCTTCCACCACTGGAGTGGGGAGGGGGGCAGTTAGACAAATTGATATGTAAACCATAAGATAGTGCTAAGTGCTATGGAAGACAACAAAGCAGGTTAAGTGGGAAAGGAGATTACTATTTTAATTAAATGGTTAAAGAGAGCTTATTTAACATCTGAGCAGAGGCCTGAAGAAAACAAGGGAAGCCGCCCTGAAGATTTCTGGGAGAAAAGAGTTCCTGGCAGTCTGAGTACGACTGCATTGGTCCTGAGGCAGGAGTGCTCTTCGTCTGTTTGAAGACTGGCAGGGAGGCCAGGGTGGTATAGCAGAGTAGATAAGGGAAAAAAGAGATCACAGGGGAATAGACAATATGGAACTTTTGTCAAGGATTTCACCTTTTTTACTTTGGGTAAAACAGGAAACCCTTGCAAGACTGAAGATCTGAAGAGTGGAGGAGCGGTGTTACTTCAGCTGCAAGATGGAAATTACACTATAAGGGAGCAAGGGTGGAAGCAGAGACTCAAGAAGCAATAATCCTCTGGTGGATCAGACCAGGAAACAGAGAAAGGGTCAGATTTAGATAGGTTTTGTTTTGTTTTTTTTTTTAAATTTTATTTATTCATTTGAGACAGAGAGAGAGCATGAGCAGGGGGAGAGGCAGAGGGAGAGGGAGAAGTAGGCTCCCCGCTAAGCCAGGAGCCCGATATGGGGCTCGACCCCAGGACCGTGGGATCATGACCTGAGTCAAAGGCAGACGCTTAACCATCTGAGCTGCCCAAGCGCCCCTAGACGGGTTTTAAAGAGCAAATAGGATTTCTTGATGGGATCAGATATGGTGGCATTAGGAGAAGAGTCAAGGAAGGATAGGCAGTTTTTCTGGACCTGTATCAAAGAAGAATGAGGTTACCGTTTACTGGGTTGGTTGGGATGAGCATGGGAGGAAAAGATTTATCATGGAAAACCATGAATTCAGTTTGCCATACTAAAATGGAGATACTTATTACAAATTTAGAAACATGTTGAGTAGGCAGCTGCTTACTGGATCTCAGAGAGGTCTGGGTTGGAGATACAAGTCTGACAGGCAGTCTTTAACACACAAACATTATTTAAATCATGGGAGTGGATCTGGGAAAAAGAAGAGACAGAGAAGAGGGCCCTGAACTGCACCCTTGATAAACTCCATCAGTTAGACATTGCCATCTCATGCCTAGTAGTGTTATAGTAAAACAACTGGTTCAATTTTGAAAGCTATCACTTATTGCACCAGCAATTTCTAAAGCCATCAAGTGCATCAATGAGACACAGAAATGAACTAAAAAGATATCACACAAAACCCAAAAGAGAAACTCCATTTATGATCAGAGAAATACTAGGAACTCAAAACGTTTCCAAATATAGAGATTGTACAATCCTGTGGTTAAGTGCATGATATATGATATACTCAGGCTGTCTGGATTTTAATTCCGGTCCCTCTGCTTATTATCTGTGTGACCAAGGCAAGGCACTTACTGTGCAGTAACCTCAACAGTAAGTTGGAGATAAAAACGTATTGGGTTGTTGTAAATGAATACCTGAACTTTCACTCTCAGAAAGTTACCTTACTGTCAATGACACTAAATCACTGAAACAAAAGTTGAGATCCCGCAGTTAATCACACTAATTTTTCAATTATCTTTTTAATTTTATTTATTTGTCAGAGAGAGAGAGCGTGTGTGTGAGTGCACAAGCACGGGGAGCGGCAGGCAGAAGGAGAAGCAGGCTCCCCGCTGAGCAAGGAGCCCGATGCGGGGCTCGATCCCAGCACCCTGGGATCACTACCTGAGCCGAAGGCAGACGCTCAACCGACTGAGCCACCCAGGTCAGGTGTCCCTAATTTTTCAATTATCTTAACCAGAGACTAGTAGCTCTGTGTTTAGATTTCAAAACAAGGCAAAACATGCTCCGAAATTCAATTCTCTTAACTACGGCCTTACTTACGCCTCCCAGTCTGGATTTTTAAATAAAGCCAAAACACATCGCCAAATGTCTTAATGTCCAAAATAATCTTCGGAGGCAGAGAGGGGGAAAGGGAGCAACTAGCTAGTCCTAGTTCACACATCAGAATAAACATGTCTCCTAACAAGGTCCAGCTGTGACATAGGGCACCATGGCCCGAATCCTCCTTAACCAGGTAGTTATTTGATTCTCTCCTGGTCTCTCCTCTAGAGAATGAACGTGCTTTGGAAGATAAAGCTTAAACCAAGCTTCTGAATGGAAGTCCAGCCAAGTGCCGAGAATCCAACTCTATGACAGCAATAGGGGAAGACTTATCCAGGGTCACCATCTATCTCTTACCTTTAGTACCCAGGAGCACCGTGGGGTCAGACTCTTCTCGGGTGGGTTAGTGGAGAAACCGCGACCCTCCCTCTTCTGGTCCCCACCCCCGACCCCCGGGAGCAAAGCGCCGGCGCAAAGCTGCTACCCTCTCCATATTCCCCTCCTCTCGCGGAGCTCCGGGCCCCGGACCCGGGCCCCAGGCTCTAACCTCCATTCGCGGAACGGTAGGAGACACCCGGGGAAGAAACAATACAGCCGCGGCGGCTGCCGTACCTCTCCCGGTCGCGGCCGTCGAAGTAGACGAAATCGCCGTTCTGGACGCACTTGGCGCAGGTCAGCCGCCGGCGGGTGGTGTTGCACAGCGGACACCGCTCGACCGCCACGTACAGCCCCTCCGCGTCGTCCACGGAGTCCACCAAGTCCCGGGCGAGCGGCCGCGGCCCGCAGCCAGGAGCCTCCGGCGCCCGGGATCCCTTCCCACTGGGAGACGCCATGATGGCCTGAGAGCAGAGGCAGTCACGTGGGATTTTGTTTTCAACCAGGTGCATCCTGGGCGAGGAGGAGGGGCCTGGGGAGGCGCCGAGAGGGCGGGCGGGGTCCGGCGAGCCTCTTGCCCAGCCTCTCCGTGCTCTTGGCCAGGCGGGCGGGCGGCGCTGTTGCTTTTCCTGCCTGCAGAGGGGCAGCCAGCCCGAAGCGTGGAGAATTAGGTTAGAGGGGTGAGTCAGCCAAAATGTCATCATTCTCTTGATCATGCCAGGGCTACAAGTTAACGCCTCAAGCTTGTGCAAGAAATAGTAATACGATGCCCTAGGGATTCTGGGAAAACGGATTGGGAACAAAATCAGGGAATTTCTTTAATTCGCTATGGGTGCTTTTAAATTTGCTGAAAAGTACAGCAAAGTCGGGTGAGGGGGCTGGGTCGTGGAGAAAGGTTGTATTTTGGGCTCACCCACCTCCTTTATAGGTTTGTGTTTTGGGTCAAATTCCTAACCTCTCTGTGCTTGTGTTCTTATCTATTACATGGAGATACAGTACCTACCCAACGTCGTGAAGGTGAACCATACCTTTAACAGGAATCTGATAGTACTTTACTGATAATAGCGAACAAGTGGAAACAATCGTGCTAAACGTGGAAATCAAAGTTATCTTTCTGAAAACTGAATTTTAAATTAATGTCCAACAGTCTTCTACTCTGGACCTTGCTCTGAGAAAGAATTTGAACTAGGCAGAATTTAACCTAACTCGATTACTCCAAATCACTTTCTGTGGAGGTAAATAGGGTGCGTGGGAGGATTAAGTCAGAGTAATTCGTGTTTGAAAATGCCTCCAAACTACAGAAGGAAAAAAGAAAAATGTGCCTATAAGTCAGTTTACCTAGACCGGTGATTCTCAAGGATTCTTTTGGTAGGCTGTCAACTGATCACTGCCTTGAATTCTCTAGCTGTGACTCCCAAGTTCCACACCCAAAGATTCACAACTACCTAGGAGGCATAAAGTGATGTAAGGTGGCCACCACAAACGTGGCATGTCCGAAACTGAACTCTCCCTCCTCACAAATGTTTCCTCATCTTGGTGCAAGACATAATCCCTAACCACTTGGGAACAAGAGCCATGAGTCATGTTAGTCCCATCCCCCCCCCCCATAACCTGCACATCTCCATCAGATTCTGAGGATTCCACAATCTAATTAGGTCTCGCATCTGAACCCTTTGCTCCATCCTCCTAGTCTTATCTAGTCTATTGTAATACCATGACATAGATTAAGGCACAAAAAAAGCAGTAAGTCCCTAAGCTGTTTTCAAAATAGAGCTTACACTAAACCTGAATGGTTTCTGAAAGTTTATTTTTAAGCAAAAGGAATAATTTCCTCTGATCATTTCAAACAAAAGGATATTTCATTTGTCTTAGGGTTTCAGACTTTCATTTGTATTCTGACAGGATCCTTCACAGTGCCCGTATCTAGCGGCCAGGACCATCTACTCAATATTTTAAAAAGCAAAAAAAATTTCTGTCCTGCTAGATGATGTTGTTGCAGATATAATCTATTCTATGCAGTTACCTGAAATTTCTGTATATTCCTGTGTATTTTCAGAGAACACATGTTAACAGACTACATCTTTCACAAGAGCAGAGCATTAAATTTTAATGATTAAACATCCTTCTAACAAGGTCCTAAATCAAATTCTGAAGTGTTTACTTTTTCAGTATTTAAAATAACATGTGTCATTTTGAAAAAGAAGTTTCTTCAGTTCTTAGGCATGGATACTCATATGGAATCATCTTTTAACAAATAAAGTCAAAATCTGCATAGAAAATCTAGTCTAGTGGTTTGTGCACTGGGCTTATGCACACACTCAAACCAATATAATGTGAGATGCTGAGTGACATACTCAAGCTTTTTTAAAACCCTTTAGAATAGGATAGATGTTTTCAAATGCTTCATAGATCTCAGAACGTTCTTTGGCACCTATAAAGAAATCCAAGTTTATATAATCTTTAATATAAAGACAATACCCAAATTTTCTTAAGACTAAAATTTCATTGTCATTTCCAAGTACTTTTAATAGGAAGACATCTCTTTAGGTTTACTTGAGAAGTGATATTTTGGTAAATACAAAATAATTTGGTGGTGACAGCCATATTCCCACAAACACATACCCTAGAGCAGTTTTCTAGTACTTCACTACGTGGGTGTATCAGAAAGTTCATCTTTTGCCTCACAGGGCACAGTATGAACTATGGAATGTTCTCTCTCAGCATGCCATGAACACGACCACAGAACATGACCTTCATCAGCACCTGTGGACACTTAGCTACCAGCAAAAGGGACTTCCTTTGATCCACTCAGGTCTAGTTAACATCTTGATTCCCTAATATTGACTCACAGAGTGAGACAAACGGCAGCAAAAGTTTTACATTTCATTGTACGAGAAGAGATTATTAGAGGAGGGAAACTGTACCACTGTCACTCCTTAGAGACTTAAGTTTCAAGGGATCTTTCATTAGAACTGCTCTAGGGATTAAAGTGGATACAAACATGCATTAGACATGGTCCCTACTCTTGAGAGGTGATCAGTCAGATGTTGTTCCTCTCTCCCCACCACCCACCACCACTATTACTTCCACCTTCCAAGCTATGCAGGCACATTGTACTGAGTGGGGGCTGTACTGGGTTATGGACTGATAGTACTGATGTTTATATGGAGCTCCCAGCTAATCAGGAAACTATTATCAGATACCACTGGCAGGAGATTAAGGAAAAGAATATAAAAACGGTTAGCATGAAGAGAAATGGAAAATAGCTTAAGTTGATAAAGACTCTTCCTTGAGAGCCATAAAGCTAAGGCTCAGTAAGAGAGAAATAACTTGTGAGAAGGGGTTATCTGGTTTAATTACAAGACTAATAGGAGGGGGCACCTGGGTGGCTCAGTCAGTTAAGCGTCTGCCTTCTGCTCAGGTCATGATCTCCAGGTCCTGGGAGAAGTCCTGCTTAGTGGGGAGTCTGCTTCTCCCTGTCCCTCTGCCCAACCCCCCCCCATACTCTCTCTCTCTCTCTCAAATAATAAATAAAACCTTAAAAAAAAAAAAAGACTAATGAGAGGAAATCACCAAAAGGAGAATCACCAGGTTTGAGAATCAGGTAGAAATCAGGATTCAGAATCAAGGATGCGCAATAATAATTTTAAAAATGGAAAATAGCAAAGTATTGGCAAAGATATGGAGAAATTGGAACTCTCATACATTGGTGGTTGGAAGGTAAAATGATTCAGCCACCGTGGAAAACAGTTTGGCAGTTGCTCAAAAATGTTAAGAATTACCATATGACCCAGCAACTCTACTCCTGGGTATATACCCCCAAATTGAAAACAGGTACTCAACGTGAATGCAGACACGTATTCATCACAGCACTATTCACAGTAGCCAAAAAGTGGAAATAACCCAAGTGTTCATCAACAGATGAATGGATAAACACATTATGATATTCACATACAATGGAATATTACTTAGCAACAAAAGGAATGAGGTTGTGTTACTGCTACAGTATGGATGAACCTCAAAAACATGCTAAGTGAAAGAAGCCAGACACAAAAGGTCACATATTGTATGATTCCATTTACATGAAATATCCAGAATAGGTAATTCCACAGAGACAGAATGCAGATTGGAGGTTGCCAAGGGCTAAGGGGAGGAAGGAATGGAGAGAAATTGCTTAATGATACGGGATTTTATTTTGGAGTAATCGAAATGTTTTGGCACTAGATATAGGTGGTGGTTGCAGAAACTGTGAGTGTACGGTCACTAAATTATTCACTTTAAAATGGTTAGGTTTATATTATGTGAATTTCACCTCAAGTTTTTAAAAAATATTAAAGAATCAGTTAAATCCTTATAAGCTTAAATTTCTCTAAGAGGCAAGGGCAAAAAGTTACTTATTCATTGCCAAGGAGTTTACTATGTGTGAGTCTCCACCCTCAGAGATGTGGGGTGGGGAAAAGGATGAGGAGGAGGGTGAGTTACTGACATGGGTAACAGAAACTCTGTACCTTTGGGGTAGGAAAAACCCCGTAAGCCCCAGATTTTTGTTACAGCATGAACATTTTAGTTTCTCAAGTGATCGTTTTGTAGAAACCAAACAGTGAGTTGGGGAAGAAGTAAAACACCATTACAAAAAAATCCTGCCTCTGATTTGATGGACCTTTTCTGCTTTTAGGTACATTTGAATGTGACAGCTTTCTTATTAGGAGACAGTGAAGTAGAGTAGATTTAACAGACACATACCCACCCATTCAACCTCCATCCCCACTCACCGAAACCAAGGTTCCTTTTATATTTAATTGAGAAACAGAGGGTCTAGGCTCAGCATTCCAGGTAACTATGTACTTCGGTTTTTCATAAGACTTTAAAAAATCATACCTAAAAGGATTTTGAAGCCCCAAAGAGTTTAGCATTCTGGCATCTGCTGGAGAACAGAAAACACCCATTGCCCAGGAGGAAACAGACACTGAGAGTGATCATTATTTTATATCACCGAAAAACACCTGTAGACACAAAAGGGCTTTGTGGGAATTAACTAATCCAATTCCCTTCATTTCCTTCGTGGGAAAACAAGGCCCAAGAAGTTGAAGTTCCCCTGAACCGTGAATAGCAGCTGTGGGTGAAGCCCTCACGTATCCAGTATTCCCTTCTAAACGTCATCAAATAAATATGGCCAGAATTTGTAACTGGGTATTACAATGAGGGGATTTGGTCCCTTTAGTCAAATATTTCCTCACCAAAAATAAGCATCACAACTTTATGGGAAACTAAACTGGTCCTGTAGTCCTATTAATCTATAATCAAACATCCCAATTTGAAGCACCAGGCTCCAGGTAGAGGCCTCTTGCTTTTAAGAAAACCTGACCAGTCTTTTCCTTTAGGTAACCATGAGCACCACTTTGGGGGATAAACACCATTCCTAGCCAGGGTGACTGAGGTGAAAATTCTGTGGCTGATGCAATGAAGAAAGGACTGGCTTTGAAATCACTCTGTATGGGCTTGAAGACCAGCTCTACTATTAACTAGGTTTGAAAAATCACAGTCGAACTGTTTAACTTCTGAGTTTCCATTTCCTTACCTGTAAAATAAGGACAATAGCCTTCTCAGAGGGCTGCCTAGGAGTTATGTGAGTGAATGTTTGTAAAAAGTCCTTTGTAAACCATCACATTTTTACTGTCCTAGAAGAATATGCTTCACGATAGGGATGTTGAGACGGCTGGCCCAAGCACACCTGGTTTACCATCCGGTTCTGTAAGAGCCAGTCTCACACAATCTGTGTCCTTCCCCAGGGCTGATTCCTGGTGGGGGCGAGGGGCAACTGTATTAGATTTGCTTTTCCATCCTCAGCACCTAAAACAGGGTGGGTACCTGATAGGCACCCGAAGTTGATGAAATACCTGCCGTCTGTCAGTAAGGTTTATAAGCTCATCCCTACCCCTTAGCCAGCCCAAACATCAATTTCCAATTATACATGGATTTTCCAATTCTATTTATACGCCAAGTCATAAGTACACATCTTGTTTTCCCAAGTGATACCATATGTGTATGCACACAAGAGAAAAATCTTACAAATTGCAAAAAACAGCATTAAACCCTTCAAAGTATACATTTTACAGTACATACTCACTTGCCATTATGGGGGATTCCCGGTCATGACTGACAGGGATATTATCTCTCTGGCCTACTCACTAACAAGTCTTGCCATTTTTTTAAAAAAAATTTTATTCATTTATTTCAGACAGCGAGAACGAGCAGGGGAGAGGGGCAGAGAGGGAAGTAGGCTCCCGGCTGAGCAGGGAACCCGATGTGGGACTCGATCCCGGGACCCTGGGATCATGACCTGAGCCGAAGGCAGACACTTAACCGACTGAGCCACCCAGGCGCCCCAAGTCTTGCCATTTTTATGCTGCCCTCTGACCTAACATTTCCAAGAACTGCTGATGTCTAGCTGATGGAGAGTTACCCTACGTAAAAAGGACCCAGCTTCTTAAGAAGTCCATTATGCTGGAGGGAAAGAAAGAAGTGTGAAGCATTTTAGACATTAGACTATAGCCTCTTTAGACATCATATTTCCATCATCAGGGCAAGGCATCACAGCAAGACTCCAGTCTTTCAACGCTAGGGGGAAAATGAGTGGGCTTCCACCAAGGGAATAACAGCTAACATTTATACCACATTTACCATCCACCAGGTACTGTTCTTCTGCCTCCTCACATTTAGCAGGTAGTTTCTACGGCCACCTGCTTTTTACATGTGTGGAAATCAAGGTGGATAACTTAAATCCACCCAAGATCATAGAGCCGAGAAATGGTCAAGCCTGGATTCAAACTGGATAGTTGGTTTCCAGAACCCAGCCTCTCAGCCACCACACCTGCTGCCTCTCACCTCTGTCCTTCAGCTGACAAGGAGGATAAGCGAGAAGGTGCCCCCAAAGACTGCACAGGCATTTGCACAGGCATCTAAAGAGCTGGGGGACAGGGTGAGTCTGTGGGGGTAGGAGGCTCTGCAGACAGGCGGCTCCAGTTCCCACCTGTGCTTAACTTCTCCACTGTCCCCATTTTACAGCTGAGAAAACGGAGATGTTCAGGACAACCTCATAGAGTTAACTGGAACCTACACAAAAGCTCTTATCACAGTGCCTGGCACAGACATGCCCAACATATGTTCACTTTATGGTGTCTGATCTTAGAAATGAAAGCTGACATAGTTGCTGTTCATTGTATATTATTCCAGCAGATCCTAGCTATATTAGTTTTACTGTGGCTTGAGAAAAAAAAATCCTAGGTCCTAAGTATCATACCATCATTTCCCAGCATGGGCTTGGGAAAACAGCGTAAGGCTTGGCTCAGGTCCCGTTGCTTTTTGCTGTCAGGGACCACGACACAGTAGGATGGCAGGGCTTCTTTAGCAGCTCACTTAACTATAAACAGAACATTCAGATGTAGCCTTGGACATGGTGGCCACAGCCTTGGCACCTCGGGGGAGTAAGACAATTTTACACAGATAAATTATTTTCAGAGGCCCTGAAAATGGCATGTGATACAGTGGTTTAGAATTGCACTTACAGTAGGTGTGCTGGTGTTCTACAGTTCCTACCTAGGGAAAGGCCGGGGTCCATTATTTAAATAGAGTGAAATGCAAATGCATTTGTAATTTCAGTACTCTAACATTTTCTAGGCAAAAGTTATTTACCCTTGTGGGACCTTCCAAAACACCTCTGCAGAGTCTTGCCATGTGTGTCTCTAGGAGTCCCCTGGACACTCCATGTGACCATCCTTAGCTAAAGTCCTAGAAGCAAGGCTAAAAGGAGGCCTCCTTGGTCCCCTTCCTCAGGTTTACACCCAAAATTGGGTCCTTGAGTTTTTAAACCCTTTGCAGATGAAGAGAGTCTAGACAGGTAAGGATAGAGAATAAGGAACATAGGTCTTGACGTTTGGAGCAACAGTAACCTAAACCATGTATTCTAGGTGAAGTACTTTAAGACAATACAGCACAAGCAGGGAAAGATCCCAATAGATAATTACTCATATTTCAGTATTAATACATTGGTTGGCTTTTACTTCATACTGTAAGCAGAAATTTGGACTTCAGTTAATACAACTCATTCCCCCGTTCACAAAAGTGATGATCTACATCTTGCAAGAATGAAGAAATTTAGCTTTGTTTGTTCTACATGCTGAATGCATAACAAATTTTATTTGTTGTGTATAAGTGTATTGCATGGTCTTTGGTATTGCGTGTAGACAGTTCTTTACTTCTGTCACTTGAAACTTGTAGCAAATGTGTACATGCCAGTTGTTTTTCTTTTTCCTTTTAATTGGGGTAAGTGAGAAAGCTGGTTTGAATTAAGGATATTTAAAGGGACTTGTTTTTGTGTATCTATAATAGAAACTTAGCCTGTACTTGTCAATTGGCACTTTTAATAAGACTGATTAATAATGATACATAGCAAGTATATGAACGTGTCCTTCCAAGGTCTTCAAAAGTTTGTTCCCTTAAGTAGGGCATATGTTTGCTCCAGTATTTATAACTATTCAATTTACTTGGCAGACATTTCCCCCCTCTCCTTCAGGACATATAGAAGTAAACTTTAAGTCAGTCTTAATTATTCTAGACTCTACATTGGCAGCATCTGAGAAAGTATAGCTTTGTTGTATTCAAAAGGTTCTTGATTTCCAAATGGGCTTTCCCCACTTTGAAGACACATTAGTTATTTGTTACAATAAAACAAACTATGAAACTTTACTGGGAGTTCTAAAAGAAGACTTAAGAACAGAAATTCCATGTTTTTGGATGCTGAGTGATAACTTTATATATAAATATAAAGGTCAAATGGAGTCATCACAAATTAATAATAAGGAGAGTAATAGTCGTGTTGGGCTGGCTGGCTGGCTATCTGAGAGTGGGGCATAATCAGTTTGGCTCCTAAGATACAAATTTGGCATTCATCTTGCTACAGAATAGTAAAATGTGTAAAAAGTCAGACAAAATTAGACAAAAATAGCAAACTTCAGTAAGATGGTGTGGAAAAGAGTCTCAACCATTTACCTCAAGAATTTTAAAAACCCTTCTTTATGTAAAAATAAACCAACTGGAAAAAGCCATAAGTATAACAGAGTAATTACTTTTAATATTATGGTGAACTCATACAAATCCTTAGGGGGGGAAATAATAAAAAGTAAACAGAAAGGATTAAGTTATGTACACACTATCTACAAAAGATGAAATGCTATTTCTTGAATAGGTTTAAAAAAGTCATCAATTTCTATTTCTGATTACCAGTGAGGTAAAGTAGTGAGATCATTTTCACTTATAAAGTTAAAGTTTTCTTTCATGCCATCTTTGTTTTGGATGCTACTGAGGGTTTGTAAAAGATACTTAAGTACATTGCTGGTAGGAACATGTAATTGGAGAGAACTATATTGTGTATCCCTTTAAAAAACAACTTGGTAATTTGTACTCAGAACCTTAAGAATAGTCATATCCTTAAAGTTCCATTTCTGAGCATCCACACTAATAATTCTCCACACATAAAAATAGCCAAATGTCTGTGCCCTTATAAAGCAGTGAACAAAGAAGGAACATTTAAATGCTTGACAATGGAAAAATAAGTTTGGTATGATAATGTGTTAGAACAGAAGTCAGCAGAGGGCTAGTCCTGTTTTTGTAGAGCCTGTGAGCTAAAAATGGTTTTAAATTCAATCGTTTAAATGGTTGGGGGCAAAAAAAAAAAATCAAAGAAGAATATTACATGACACATGCAAATTATATGGATTATATTAAATTTACATTTCAGCGTACTTTCCTTTCTGTAATGTCTATAGCTACTCTCGCACCAACTGTGGCAAAGTTCCATTGTTGCAACAGAGACCCTATGGCCACAAAGCCTAAAATACTTAGTATTTGGCCCTTTACAGAGAAAAGGTTTGATGACCCCTCTGTTAGAACACTGTGCAGCTGTTAAAAGTGTTCTTGAGGAGTTTGTGACAATGAGCGAAGCTACATGCTATAATGGTTAATAAAAATGCAGGATGTAAAGATAAATATACATATCAAAATAACATAAAAACATGAAAAAAAATTGTATTGTTTTGGGTATTGAGACCAATGAGTGAGGTTATAATCCTTCCTACTTTTCTTTTTTTTCCAGGTGTTCTACAATATCAAGACTTACTTTATAATGGTGAACAAAGCTATTTGAAAGGAAAAGCAAAGCAACACATAGCTATTGAAGCCTATGAAAGTCAGAAAATAATCTTAGAACTTACCTGTCAACACAACTTTTCCAGATACGAAGATAAGCAACACAATTCGTGGTTTTACCATTCTGTAAATAAGGCCAGGAAACAGTTCAGGTTCATAACTGTTCAGATATAAAAGGAAAAAAGTTAAAAATAGTACTATTCAACTACTTTTCCATAACATTCAAGACCCAGCGTATTAAAGCTATTCTACCAAAACCTTTTGACCATCTTAATAAAAATAGTCTGGAGTGCCCTAAGCAATTTCTTGTGACTGTCAAGAACAGAATTCATCTTTGGTCATGACATTTTTTCAAGTGCAGGTCATGCTAAGCTATTAAAAATTAAGGTAACTTAGGGCATCAAATTTAATGTATTAAGATCTTGCTGGTTAAAAAAAAGTCTATCAATAAAAATACATAAACATGTTTTCTAAATTTTCTAAATTTCCAAGTTTCCCAATATGAGCACATTTTGTACACATTTATAAACTGCTAAGGAGAACAATTTTAGAACCTAAGAAGTTTTCCAGACCACCATCATTTGTCTCTGGACAGGTGCTGTAAAGAACACTAAACTATCCCAACTCTTAAAAATTTAGGATTTGTGGGGCGCCTGGCTGGCTCAATTGGAAGGGCATGGGACTCTTGATCTCAGGGTCATGAGTTCAAGCCCCATGTTGTGTATAGCGATTACTAAAAAAAAAAAAACAAAAAAAAAAACAAAAACAAATTTAGGACTTGGTCCTATAAATAGTAACTCACTCATATTTACTACTAAATGTAGAAGGAGGAGGATAGGGCTAAGAACTGTTTCAGGCTCCAGCATAGAGAAGTAGAGAGACTCCTAGAAAGGCTTAAGGAGACTTCAAAAAAGAAGTCAAGAGTTAAAAGGAAGCTGACAAAATTAAAGCAATGCTAAGAACAGATATAAGAAAAAAGAAGAAATCTGAGAAATGGAACACAATATATGTTAATCTTTGCATTTAATGGGTGAATCAGGACCACACAGAAAAACGCCCTCCATTCCATTCCGCAATGAGTTAAGACCCATACAACAGCAGACGTGAAATCTCTTACTGGTACCAGGATGATGTGTTACAGTGGAGAGGCTACCCTTCTGAAGTATATGGAGGTTGCTCTGGGTAGACGTCTTCCTGGAAGGTCACTCTTACTGCAGAAAGCCTGTCAAGATTTAACCTACTTGAGGCACCTCGGTGGTTCAGTTGGTTAAGCAACTGCCTTCGGCTCAGGTCATGATCCTGGAGTCCCGGGATCGAGTCCCGCATTGGGCTCCCTGCTCAGCAGGGAGTCTGCTTCTCCCTCTGACCCTCCCCCCTCTCACGCTCTCTATCTCATTCTCGCTCTCAAATAAATAAATAAAATCTTAAAAAAAAAAAAAAACCTACTTAGCACTTCTCAACACTGGGGAGTCAATGATACTAGCTGGAGCCCTGCAAAATTTGTATGGGAGCTGAGGCTTGAACCAAGAAAGTGAAAGCTAGAGACACAGAAGGAATGTTTCCATTTGATCTTCCAACAGAATCTTAGCATTTTAAAGGGAAAAGAGAGGGTGCCTGGGTGGCTCAGTTGGTTGAGCGTCCGACTCTTGGTTTCAGCTCAGATCATGATCTCGCAGTTGTGAGATCAAGCCCCACATTAGGCTCTGCACTCAGCAGAGAGTCTGCTTGGGATTTTCTCTCTCCCCTCTCCCTCTGTCTCTCCCCCTGCTATGTTCACTCTCCTCTCTCTCTCTCTCCCTCTCTAAAATAAGTAAATAAATCTTAAAAAAAAAAAAAAGGGAAAAGAGAAAACAAAATCTTTGGTATGTAAGTGGTGGCAAACTGCAATTGGCTTTCAGAACCATAGT